GTAAAATGAATAAAATTTTTAATAAAAAAGAAAGAAAATAAGTTGGTAAATACAAATGTGTATGTATATTATGTACACACACAAAGGGGATGCTATATAACTGTAAAAAAATCTAATTACAAAATTTACAGAAAAATGGATGGATGTTGAATGTATGTAAGTTGACATCACACTATCATATAAAGAAATACACTGCATTTCTCCCTCATATATTTAATCTAGACGGCAATTAAGTACATATGTGAAGAGATGTGTATGTGTGTACAGTATGTAAAGTACAAAAGAGAATGAACATGAAGTATTAGGGGATGAGGAATGATTTAAAGCAGGTAATGAATGTGGGTTTTGTAAGAGGACATAAGATAATTGGGGCTGGAGAGATGGCTCAGCCGTTAAAGGCTAGGCTCACAACCAAAAATATAAGATAATTGATTTTCAGGTTCCAACTCTGATATGGATTTTAGTTTCATAGTGTATAAGTGCATAAAATATATTCAGTGCAGACAGTGTCAAATCCAATGTGAATGCCTCAGATTCTGTTCAGAATATCTGTTCTAACTGTAGAGAAGTTCATGACTTCTGTAGTATAACAGGCTTTTTCTTGGGCCACCAACAAATCACTAAATCATGGCATGGACATTTATTAGTTAGGAATGATCAGGCTTAGCTTAGGCTCATTTCTTGCTGGCTCTTATAACTTAACCTGTTTCTCTTCATGTATGTTTTGCCTGGGGCTCTTTATCCTTCATTTTTTGTATATATTGCTTTCCTGCTGTCTCCATGGTTGTCTGAATGCTGCCAGGCTTCTGGTCCTATTGTGGCCCCCTCTCTCTTATTCTCTTGACCTTTTCCTCCATTCTAAATTTCTCTGCCTATTTTTTCTCTCTGCCTGAGAGCCTCACATATCCCTCTCCTGCCTAGCTATTGGCCATTCAGCTTTTAATTAGACAAATCAGGTGCCTTAGGCAGACAAGGTGAAACAAATGAAACACATCTTTACATTTTTAACAAAGGCAGCAGAAACAAGTGTAACACACCTTTACACAGGTAAAGTAATATTACACAGCATAAAAAAATGTAATTCACCTTTGCCTAGTTAAAATAACATTCCACAACACTGTAGTTTTCAGGTCTTGTTAATTTTCACATAAGAATTTTTTTTTTACTTTCAAAATAATAGGGTTTGAAATTAAACAGAGAAATGAGAAAGGCCAGCTAAGATTATTTATTCCTGAGCGTGTATGTTTCTGCTATAGTATTAATCCTAAGTGTGTGTCTGTCTCTGTTATACTATCTCCTCCTGACAGTGTGAGCCTTTGCTGTATTATTTACTACTGGGCTTGGGAGTCTCTGTTACAGTATTTACTACAAAGAGTGTGTCTCTGCTACTTCTCACTTAAACTGGTCCCTTGAGAAGCTTTCCCACAGACTGTAGCTTTAAAAAATCATTCTCTTGTAGAACAAATGCATATTTATTTATTATTCATTTCCATTCATAAGGAAATATCTCTCTATGTTCAGAGGAAATTAATAACTAGGTCTACAGAGACTCCAAGCAGGAAGAAAACATTGACTTACATACACATAAGAAACCTGACTTTTGTTCAAGGTATATTGCTTGATCACATTTTAGGCATTTTTTAAAAACAGAAACCTTCCCACACAGCAGCCTTTCTTTGTTATTATCTATGATGGAAATTAAAACTAGAAGTATAGACTCTCTTTGCTATGTAATCTAGAGGCTTATTCATTTCTCTGTGTTCTCTCCAATGTGCATATGCCATTTACACGTTAATAAAAATTTTTAAATAACACAGTGATAGAAGGGATGTGATGTATTGTAACTTTCTACCCGCCAAGTTCATTTGACTGTTACACTCCTTTCCTAACTTTCATAATGATGGATAACCAGGAACAACAACAGCTGTGATCACTATGGATGTAGGAGGGAGGTCAGGGAAGGTGGTGAGGCCACTGTTCACCTCATGGCAAAGCCAAGTGGAAGATACAAGGTAAGTCTGGCTGCATCTTATCTCTGCAAAACCTGTCTCTTTCCTGAGGTTACACTGATACAGGGCTTCCTAGACCTCAGCATCTGAGACCTTCTGGGAGACCACTCACTTGATCCCTTATTATGCCTTGCCAGTAGGAAGCTGACCCTCTGTAATCTTTATAATGGCCAGATGCATGAGCTGTAATCACTGCTAAAACAAGTCAAGTTTGGATATATACAAAACCAACAAGGTAAAATGATATTCATTTGGGGAGAATTTATTACACAAATGTTAAATGTTTTATTCAAATCTCCACATTCCTTCACCTATTGCATCTTACCCTTAAAAACACTTTACTGTCCCAATTTGGTGGGCTTTTTCTTTGTTATTTCTTCATTCCACTTAGTGCTCCCCCAATGTGTAGGGGTGTAGGACAACTAACTGGAACATGGAAGCCTCTCAGATTGACTGTCTCCCTCAGGAGCCATCAATTGCCAATAGCTCCTCCACAGGGTGAGACGTAGTGAGGCCCTTATGCACCCATGCCTATTGTATGGTGGGGTTTAGTCTGTGTATGTGTTTTCCCCATACTAATAGCCACAGTGTGTTCAAGCATGAAATGGTGCTGACTTTTCTAACAATGTTTCACTGTTCTAGAAATGTTTTAACATTTCTACTGTCTCCCTGCAGACATTTACTATACCTGGCTCTGTCATTCATTCTCTTTTCCCTCAGGAATCTCTGACTTTTGGCTTTAGATGTGTGTAAGGGACCTCTTTTACAATGTGTGACACAGGTGTCACTTTTTGATTGGGGTTGTCCACAGGCTAATATCCTCTATACTTTGACAAATTTGCATTTGTGTATTATTCTCCATCTACAACACAATTAATATTTTCTAGTGGGTATTGAGAGGTACCTGACTCTGTGCATATAAAGATGAGAACTTGGGTTCATTTAGTTAGTATGCACTTCTTAGAATAAGTTAGAATAACAACATTAAATTCTCCCCAAGGCTTTTCATCTATCCAGGCTCAAGTATATCACCAAATTAATCGCATCAATTATAGTTTGTGTAATGAGCTTTAAATCCTATCAGAAAATGATTGGTTACTCCGATAACTTTCCTGCCATTATTGCTCTACGGGCACTGTTGTTTTTTTATTTGAGGCACAGAAGCTCACCTGATACCATCTCTGTCTCAGCTGATGAATGCACCTCTGCAGCTGCTGCCTTGCTGCTGAGGCCTTAGACCAGAAAAGCCTGCATGTAATTTTAATTAAGTCTCTACCCTTTAATTTTACCAATAAGAATTCTGGAGCCAGATGCTGGGTGAAAACCTGCTAGCTCAGAGAGACAGAGATTCTTACACACAAGGGGAGATACTAGAGGAGCTTGGATGACTCCACTGGGAAAAACAACAGTAACTATGCCACAGCCCAGATCTCAGACTCCAGGCTCCCAATGGAGAAAGTTATGACATGTAAAGGTTTTATGGAATATATATAGTTACAGAAGAAAAAGACTCATTAATCAAGGCAAGTGTCAAACACACTGCTTTAACAAACTGTTGGGGGTTACAGCATTTGTGCTCTTAGAAGTTAGAGGTTCAAGATCTCTGTATGTAACAGGCTTTCTCTTGAGCCACCAACCATCTCATAAATCATGACATGGAGACTTATTAGTTATGAATACTGAGGCTTAGCTTAGGTTCATTTCCTGCTGGCTCTTATAACTTAACCTGTTTCTCTTCGTGTACATTTTGTGTCAGGGCTTTTTACCCTTCTTTTTTTCTATATATCTTGCTTTGCTGCTGTATCCATTGTTTACTGGAGCCTCCTGACTTCCGGTCCTGGTGTGGCCCTCTCTGCCTTGTTCTCTTCTCCTTTTCCTCCATCCTAGTTCTCTTGCCTTTTTTTCTCTCTGCCTGTGAGCCTCACCCATCCCTCTCCTGCCTAGCTATTGGCCATTCAGGTTTTTATTAGACCAATCAGGTGCCTTAGGCAGGCAAGGTGAAACAAATGCAACACATCTTTACATGGTTAACAAGGAAGCAGAAACAAATGTAACACATCTTCACACAGTTAAAGTAATATTCCACAGCATAAACAAATGAAACCCATCTTTGCCTAGTTAAAATAATATTCCACAACACTGTAGCTTTCAGGTCTTGTTAATTTTCACATATGAACTTTTTTTACTTTCAAAATAATGGGTTTTAAAATTAAAAAAAGAGAAACGAGAAATGCCAGCTGAGTTTCAGAGTCTCTGCTGTACTTAGTCCTGAGCTTATATATTGTCAGCAGTCAAGGCAAGGGCACTTTCTTACCCAGTGGCTAATTTTTGCCACAAAGAAAGTGAGCTCCATAAGGAGTTTCTTTTATGCTCATCATCTTCTCTGAAGTAGATTCATGCTGCCAAGAGCAGACATGTCTCATTATCATAAAAAAAGAAAAAAAATCTACGTTATTGAAATACCTTAAATGACATATTGCTGTGGGATGTTCTGTATGGCAAATGTGTTGCTGATTGGTCAATAAATAAAACACTGATTGGCCATTGGCTAGGCAGGAAGTATAGGCAGGACAAGGAGGAGAATAAAGATGGGAAGTGGAAGGCTGAGTCAGAGAGACACTGCCAGCCGCCATGATGAGAAACAGCATGTGATGATGCCGGTAAGCCACGAGCCATGTGACAAGGTATAGATTTATAGAAATGGATTAATTTAAGCTGTAAAAAAAGTTAGCAAGAAGCCTGCCATGGCCATACAATTTGTAACCAATGTAAGTCTCTGTGTTTACTTGGTCGGGTTTGAGCGGCTGTGGGACTGTGGGGAGAGAGATTTGTCCTGACTGTGGGCCAGGCAAAAAAACTCTAGCTACAACATATTCTGTAGATCTCTGAAGTGTTTGAAGTTTGAATGACTCCACTGGGAAAAACAACAGTAACTATGACACAGCCTAGTCCTCAGATTCCATGCACCAAATGGACAAAGTTATGACATGGTAAAGGTTTCGTGGAACATTTATAGTTACAGAAGAAAGAGACTCATTAATCAAGGCAAATTTCAAACATATTGCTTGAACAAACTGATGGGGGTTACAACAAAGAGACGCCTATAATTTTCTCTGGTGACATTCTTAGCATTTGTGCTCTTGGAAGTTAGATGTTCATGTTAACATTCCAAAATAATTAACTTAATATTCTCCACTATGGATTCATTAGAGTTAGATAAGACCTGAATCGTTAGCAAAGATTTTACCACACTTCACACACTCATGGAGTTTGTAGTCAGAATGAATTATTTGATGTGTTTTAAGTGTTGAAGAAGTAAACTTAAGACAGTTTTAGGATTTCTCTCCTGTATGAACTCTCTTGTGTTTCATAAAGCCTGAGTGATACCGAAAGGCTTTGCCACACTCTTCACACTTGTATAGTTTCTCTCCAGTATGAAGTGTTTGATGTTCCTGAAGATCCCTAGAAGAGGAATATCGTTTGCCACATTGTACACACATATAAGGATTGTCTTCAGAATGGATTTTTTTATGTCCTCTAAGGGATAAAGATGAGTAAAAACATCTGCCACACTCTTCACACTTGTAGGGGTTGTTTTCCCAGTGAATTATTTGATGTCGTCTAAGGGATGAAGATAAGGTAAAACATTTACCACACTCTTCACACTTGTATGGTTTCTCTCCAGTATGAACTGTTCGATGTTCCTGAAGATGCCTAGAACAGGAAAACCGTTTGCCACATTCTACACACATATAAGGATTGTCTTCAGAATGAATTTTTTTATGTCCTCTAAGGGATAAAGATGAGTAAAAGCATCTGCCACACTCTTCACACTTGTAGGGATTGTCTTCCCAGTGAATTGTTTGATGTCGTCTAAGGGATGAAGATAAGGAAAAACACTTACCACACTCTTCACACTTGTATGATTTCTCTCCAGTGTGGACTGTCTGATGCTGCTTAAGGTGTGCAAAGTAAGAAAACCTTTTGCCACACTCTTCACACTTGTAGGATTTCTCTGCAGTATGAATTTGCTGATGTACCTGAAGGAATGATGGTTCATAAAAAGCTTTGCCACATTCTTCACACTTGTAGGGTTTCTCTCCAGAATGAATTCGCTGATGCACCTGAAGGAATGATAGCTCATAAAAAGCTTTGCCACATTTTTCACACTTGTAGGGTTTCTCTCCAGAATGAATTCTTTGATGTTGCTTCAGCATTGAAGGATAGTAAAATAATTTGCCACATTCCTCACACTTGTAGGATTTTTCATCAGTATGATTTTTCTGGTGTATAAAAAGTGATGCGCGAGTATTAAAAGTTTTATGACATTTTATACACATATAGGGTTTTTCTCCAGTATGAAGTCTCTTGTGTATGGAAAGTGTTTTATGAGAACTTAGGCCCTTTCCACATTCTTCACACTTGTAGAGTTTCTCCCTTGTATGAATTCTCTGGCGTTGAATATGCAGTGGGTTACAATCAATGGATTTGTTGTACATGTTATAATCATTGGGTGTTGTTCCTGTTGAGTAAAAGTTGAGATATAAACAAAGGCTAGGAAATATTCTTTATACTTAATGTTTGTCTTTTTAAAAGGAAACACTTACTCATACATATTGAAACATCAGTGAGAAACTACAGTACACTTCAAAACCTATAGGCAGTAAGCATTAATGATAAAATCTTCTAGGTAGAAATAATCTATACATCTACTAGAATAAAGGCACAACCAAATAGAACCCAGATATATGGCAAATTATTCAAAGTTCAATAGCTAAGTAAGTTGTCAGTGCATTTTACTAACAAATAAACCAGTAGAGATGGTCTATGGCCAGACACCCATAAAATTATAAAGGAAGTAAGCCAGAAAAGGAGAAAGATAATTGTGACTGGGTGAATTTGCATCATCTAAATACAAAATAATTATCCTTCATATAGAGTTTTATTTTGGAAGGTACAAAAGATATGCTGCACAAGAAGTAGATGATACACAAAAATATTGAATTCAGGACAATATGTTATGTTTTATTTGGATGACAAGAAAATATATATCTGAAACATTTTGAGTCATGATAAAAATCTTCAGGATCACCTGTGCATTACACAAATTTTATCGGAGACAACATATTCGTCAATGACTAGATGACAAAATTACTTATCTCCTTTTTCGTTTGTTTTTGCTTTTTCAAAACAAGGTTTCTCTGTATAAACATTGCTGTCCTAGAACTCACTATCTAGACCAGGCTGGCCTCAAACTTAGAGATCCACCTACCTCTGATAGTGGAGGATACCGAAGGGATCCTTATACCTATACCTGCCACCCAACTGTTACGTGAACTACATGCTAGTTCAAATGGCCATGCCCTGTCCCTGTCTTTGAATTTCCTCCTCTCAACAAAGCTAACCCCAGAGCTGAGCTGTCCATGTCTGATTGTGTAAGGAGTCCTCAGCAAAGTGGTAGATAACATATGACAGAGGCTCTGCCACACGTACAGTCAGCAGAGTCAGCAGATCTATCAAACACTTCAAAGAACTACAGAATATGGCATTTAAATTTTTTTAATACATAAGGTTTTCTTGCCAGAAAAACATGTCTGCCTCTGGCAGCACCCATTTACTTCAAGGAAGATGATGGGCATTAAAGAATCTCCATATGGAGTGTGCTTTCTTTATGGCAAAAGCTACCCACTTGAACAAAGAAACTGCCCTTGTGGTGATACTTTGTTTGTGCTCTAACAAATGAAGCTTGCCTGGAGATCAGAGGGCAGAGCTAGCTACTAGTTAACCATGGAGGCCAGGCCCTGGTGCCACACACCTTTAATCCTAGCACTTGTGAGGAGGAAACAGGAAGTGATAAGGCTGGGTGGAGAGAGGAAGTGATAAGGCAGGCAGAAACAGATGCTTGGTCCCTTTCCAGCAGAGGAGTGAGGAAGTAAGAAGTGGCTGAGCTAGCTCCTTCATCTCTCTGATCTTTCAGCATTTACATATATATGTGTGTGTGTGTGTGTGTATATATATGACTCCGGGATTTCATTATTAAGATCAACTAGGATTTGCACTACATCTGGCAACCAACTTGTGGAGCACAAATTCAGGAAAAAGCCACATGCTTGTGGCTTTGCAGCCACTGGCAAGGGCCGGAGCTGCATGTGGCCAGAGTCACTATGCCACCAGCTAGATTTTCCTTTCTTTTCCCCAAGCCTTCTGAGGGAGTCTTGGCAGCAAACTCCACAGGCTTTGGGTCTCCAAAAGTTGCAGGAGTTAACCACTTTTGCATGTTCCTTTGTGCAGAAGGCTGGCTCTTTGGCTTCTTCCCTCTCCCAGTGGGTTGTGGGTTTTCCCTGGGTGCCCTACTAGGGGGGCTGCCATGTGAGGTAGCTGCCTTGAAAACCAATTGGGCTTCTATTGTTCTATGCAGAGCAGTCAACATCAGATCTTTACCATCAGCAGCAGCAGATTTGGTGAGACGATTGGGATGTCTTAAAAAGGGAAATTAGTTAAAAGAGAATCTTATCACACATTAAAAAATGGGACACACTATTAGAATAGAGGGAGTTAGGTCTCTGCATGATAATATACCAGACAATTTGAAAAAGGAACAATTAAAGGAGAGGATAATTAAGGTAGATGAAATTTACATAATGTCAATTTTAAATATTATCTGATCATTATTGTTTTATCACTAAAAATCTTGGTTAATATGAATGTTAAGTTACATCTGGTGCCCCAACATTTGTGATAGTAATTCATGAAAAAACCCACTTGCCTGTGACTTTATAGGCCCTGCTCAAGCCGAGGTGCACACAACCAGTCTCCACTCCATGTGGGCCAGAGTCCCTAACCAGCTGAATCCAGTTGGGTAGATCTTTCACTTCTTTTCTCCTAGTGGGTTGTGGGCTCTCTCTGGATTCCCATCTCGGGCTGATACCACACTAAATAACTGTCTTGAAACCTGCTTGGGCTTTTATAGTTCTATGCAGATGAGTAAGCCTCACCTCTGTGTCATCATTGTCAGCAAATTTTGTGAGTCAAGATTTCTTAAAGGGAGAAATTAGTTAAAAGAGAATTTTTTAACATTTTTACAATGGAGGGAATTTGGTCTCTGTTTGATAACACATTACGTGGTCTGAAAATGGAACAATTAAATGAGAGGATAATTAATGTTGTTGGGATTTACATAACATCAATTATGAACATTATTTGTTTGGTCATTTTTGTTTTATCATTAAAAACATTAGTTAATTTCAGTGCCAAGATAAAAGTTTTAGAAAACTTGTTAAAACAAATCATAGAGAAATTCAGACCCAGACAGAAGAATTTAAAGGTGAACCTACCTCAGCATTGAATTATATGGTTACAAAGAAACAGCTGAAAGTTTTCAAACAGCCCACCTTAATCTATCCAGTAACCTTACAGGAACTGCCAAATGCTCAAGGCTGTGTATGAGCTAACTGGGCTCCTGTGGAAATGATAGATTTGAGGAGATTTAAAGAAGCTATAGTCTGCCGGGCGGTGGTGGCGCATGCCTTTAATCCCAGTACTAGGGAGGCAGAGGCTGGCAGATCTCTGTGAGTTCAAGGCCAGACTGGTCTACAAAGTGAGTTCTAGGAAAGGTGCAAAAACTACACAGAGAAACCCTGTCTCGAAACCTCCCCCCCCCAAAAAAAAAGCTATAGTCTTATATGGCATGCATTCTCCATTTGTAAACCAGATGTTAAACTCATGGTCAACTTGTAATAGAATTATCCCTCAAGACTGGAAAGATTTGGTTACAGCTGTCCTAGAGGCTGGTCTATGTTACAATGGAGAACCTGGTGGAAAGATGAGAATAAGACTATAGAACAATGATGCAGGGCTAGAGATATGGCAATTTCCCAAGATCAACTTCTTAGAGAAGAGATTATGCTAATATACAAAAACAATCTTTATATGATGACCACATGCTAATTCTATGCCACATGGCACCCTTGAATGCTTGGGACAGAATTGAAGAAGTAGGAAAGAAAATTGAGTCATTTACTAAAGTTATACGGACCCCTAAATAAACCTTCATGGATTTTTTTTACAAAGGCTATATTCAGCAATAAATAGAATGATACCAAATTCAGATGCTAGATAGATAATAATTGAATGTCTGGCTTTTGAAAATGCTAATGTACAATGCAAAATGATAATTAGGCCATTAAAGGCAAGATCAGCACCCTTGGAGGAACGGATCTGAGATACAATTAATATTGAATCTCATGACCATGATGATACTTGGATAGGAGAGGTGATTTCCAGAGGCCCCCATGGCAATTCAAGTCAGTCCTTTCCTGCCATCATAGAAGAAGCCCCTTCCAGAGCAATTAAATAACCAAATGTCTATTGTAAAAAACCATACTGGTGGGTTGATGGAACAGCTATAGCAGAGAGAACAAAAAATGTAGGATATAAAATAGGTAATTTGTTCAAAACCTTAGAGGGTGACAAGAATTTAAATAGTCCAAGAGAATTATCAGCTAAAGATGAGAGAGAATTGACTTTGGTGGAAAAAAAATTACAGGATGCACATGTGGATCATTTGGATCCAGAGCTTGATTGCATTCTGTTTATTTTACCCTCTACACATTCTCCTACATGAATTTTAATGCAGAGGGGAGATATTATCTTCGAATGGATATTTTACCACATAAACAGAGCAAAAATAGGAAAATTAAGATTTCATCAATAAGCAGGATTAGACCCAGTGGAAATCACCTTTTACAAATAATGAAATTTTCTCTTTAGGGGCAGAACATGAAGACTGGCAAAGAGCTTTCAGTAATTTTTGAGGGGAGATTAACATCAAATATACCAAAAGCAAGAGAATTAAATTTATAAAATAAACTAACTGAATTCTTCCTCACATTGTACGGGGAACATCAATTTCTGGAGGCAGTACATTTTATATTGATCCAAACAAATCAGGAAAGGCATGTTATAAATCATAAAATTTAAGTTAAGTATCCCAAATCCCTTATGATTCTGTTCAAAAGTCAGAATGATATGCTATTCTCATCATATTAATGGATTTTACAGAACCCTTTAACATAGTTATAGCCTCTTTGTATGCAGAAAGAGTTGTTTTACACATTTAAACTGCTGAATTTATTCCTGATGATTCCAAATTAACTTTGTAACTTATACAATTACAGGAAATAATCAGGAATAGAAATCATCCCTTATATATAACACACATCAAATCATATATGGGTCTGCCAGGCCCTCTAGCAAAAGGTAATGATGAAACAGAGCAACTATTGATAGGAAATGTGCTGGAGGCCTCAGAATTTGATAAAAATAAAAACAAAACATTATGTCAATAGCAAGGCTTTGAAAGGGGATTTTTTTCTGTCACTTGACAACAAGCCAAGGAAATTATAAGGAAATGTCCTACTTGTTCTTAATACAACCAAACTCCACTGCCTGCTGGAAGGAACCCAAAGTGTACTCAAAGTAATGAAATCTGGCAGATGGATATTTCATTTTCTAGAATTTAGTAAATTAAAATATGTATGCTATACCATTGATACCTATTCAGGATTTCAATGGGCAACTGCTTTGAGTTTCAAAAAGGCTGATTCTGTAATCACAGATTTGTTAGAAGTTATGGCCATCATGAGTATACCTGTACAAATTAAAACTGACAATGCTCTAGAATATGTCTCTAGTAAAATGAAATACTTTTTTGCTTATTACAATACAAAGCATAATTCAGGAACACCACACAAACCAACAGGGCAAGCAGTTTCAGAAATATGAAATTGAACTCTAAAGGATATGCTAAATAAATATAAAGGGGTAATAAAGATTCCCAGAAATAGATTGCATAATGCTTTATTAACTTTGAATTTTCTACATGCTAAGGAGAAAGGAACAACAGCTACGAAGAGACATTGGATATCAGGACTTGATAATTATCCCAGCTTTTTTCAGCATACCATAAAGATTCCATCACCCTCAGACAGCAGGAAGTATATTTAAGAACATGATACCCACATTCCCAAGAGGTAGGGTTGGTAGTTTTAGGTCATTCAATGTGTTATGTATATTTGTCACCATTTAGAGTGGTTGGTTACAAGTTGTTATGGTAATGATCAAGAAAAAAGCTGAACAAAGAAGATTCAATTCAGAGATCTTGTTTTGTAAAGAAAAATGGGGATATAGATATGATAGGATAAAAGGGTAGATTATTGAATCTACTCTGAAAAAATGGATACAAATATGATAGGATAAAAGGGTAGGTTACTCAATCTACTCTGAAAAGAAAAAGGGGGTACAGATATGATAGGATAAAGAAGTAGATTATTGAATCTACTTTTAAACAAAAAGAACAACTACTAGTTTTAAATACCTGACATTGGTTCATATTTTTGTATATTGATACAAATTTGAGGTTATATTTGCTAGAACATACTGTACATACATTTCTAATCTTGTTCAAGGTATTGTACTTATGCAACTAATTTAACAATGTAATGCAAATTACTAGTCCTTGAAAGTTATTATTATAAACTATTTAGGATAATAAAGAAATGCAAGGTTATTAGTTAGTCACCTATTACAATCAAATTTGTAGTAGGTTAGGTATGTTTTCAAGCTCAACGAGAGATATATTTTAGATACACAAGTCATGTTCAAACACTTAATAGATCTATAGAATGTGGCATTAAAGATGTTTTAATAACATAGATTCTTCTTCTTTTTTTAATAACAATGGCATGTGTGTGGTCCTGGCAGCACCAATTTACTTCAAAGAAGATGATGGGCATTGAAAGAAATCTGTATGGAGTTTATTTTCTTTATGGCAAAAGCTAACCATTGACAAAGAAACTGCTATTGCCTCAATTGCTAACAGTATACTGTCCAAACTGGACCAACAGGATACAAAACAAAGTGACTACCAAACTTTGCCAAGACAAGGTAGAACAGTTCTTCAAAACTCCCTGCTTCTCAAAAATGTCTGTCTGAATATTCTAGGCTTGTAAACCAAAGATGAATGTCTCAGTGTTACAGAAGAACTTTGGTTGACTATCCAGGCAGCCAGAAGTCCCTGTTGTTAGGTAACATTTCACCCTTCTGGGGTCTTTGATTGCGTTAAAGACTAAATAATTAGACTTGAAGTTTTCCTTAGTTATGATAAAAGGTAAATTAGATATAAAAGTTTTTAGACTCACAAAGATAAGATAGATAATAAAATATTTTCTCTAAATTTGCCAAATACAAATGAACTCGTTATTGCAACTGTAATGCTTACTTGACAACTGTTTTTGTTATAGTTTTACTATGTTAAAATTAAAACCTTCCTTTTTAATTAGACAAAAAGGGAGAAAAGCTGTGGAATAATCCTTCTGCACACTGTGAAGATGTATTGCTTGCAGAATTTTAGGGGCAGAGAGAATGTTGGGAAGAGAAAGGGCAGAGCCAGAGGAGTCATCAGGATACAGAGGAGAAGGAGATAAACATGTGATATGGAGAAAAGGTACAGCCATATGGCAGAGTATTAATAAGACGTATGAGTTAATTTAAAATAAAAGAGCTAGTTAGTAATAGGCCTGAACTATCAGCTGAGCATTTATAATTAATATTAATTCTTCAAGTGGTTATTTGGGAATTGCTGGTGGGATAGAGCTGATCACGGTCCCAATGAAAAACATCACCTACACTCCTTAGCCTTACTACCATTACAATGTGGAAGCCAATAAAAATGTACACTTTAAAGAAGTTTGAGAATCAGCAGGAGACACTGAGGAGAAGGGACCACCAGATCTCTTCCTACCATTGGACTTATGCTAAAGTTAGTTATAATGCTTCCTATAGGGCTAGCCACAGTGGCTACCCTGACTGGATCTGAAACAAAACACTTTACTAGTTCTCATGTATCTGGGAATATTAGGTTTATACATAAAAGATTATAATTTTTCAAACAAGCTGTGACTTGGAATATATCCAAATAAGAGTTAGACCTAATATATGACAAATATGTTAACTTAAAAAAAAAAACCCTCAAAAAAGCATGCAGCCTCACAACACAATGAAAAGCCTAACACTGCCGGGCGGTGGTGGTGCACGCCTTTAATCCCAGCACTCGGGAGGCAGAGCCAGGCGGATCTCTGTGAGTTCGAGGCCAGCCTGGGCTACCAAGTGAGTTCCAGGAGAGGCGCAAAAGCTACACAGAGAAACCCCGTCTCGAAAAACCAAAAAAAAAAAAAAAAAAAGAAAAGCCTAACACTACTAACTGCCATGAAGGAGAGGCACATAATCTCTATACCAAAACTGGTTTGCTAGGCATCCCTGAATCAACAGTGTAAGGCCCTGTAGCTCATCCTGTCCTCCTCTTCCCAAAAAAGCAAACAACCTCTGTTAAATTAGTGTACCTAATGGCCCAATATAACCCCATTATACAACATGTTAATGTTTTGTATCATCCCTAAGATCATTTTGGAAAGAACTATCCAAAGTGACTCCTTTGTATGAGTTATATCCAACTGCTTCCCTCCCCCAAATTGTTCTAATCAACAGAACTGAAAGTGTTGAGGTTTCTGTCTCTGCCTGCCTCTCAGTGATGGAATTGTGGGTTTGACTTAATAAACCCAATCATGCTTACTTTGGTGTAGAAGTCTTTTTGGTATGAGTTTTCACAAAATGTCTGCAAATAAATGGCACTCAGTCTGACCAGCACTGAGTTCTCTTTCCCTGAGTTTTACAATATAATGGAGACTCAACAACAACAATAACAACAACAAAAACAAAACAAAATAAAACAAACAAACAAACAAAAACCTTGGAAGTCACTGCAAATAGAAGCACAGCTCTCTGTTGGGGAAATACAAAGCTTAAGAGACTCAAACAACATAAACAACTAAGAGATGTATTTGACAACAAAGACATGAAGGAGAGACCTAAAGAATGATTACCATAGTATCATGTTTCAAGGCACATGGCAAAGCCTGCCTTTCTGTTGAATATTTGGACCTCAACTCTGCCCCCAAATCCTTCATTCCTACATACCTGGATGCACGTTGGCTGCTGCTTGTCTCTTCACATATGAAGATTCTTGTCTTTGTTCCAAAAACGTCACTAGGTGTGGCTTTGACACAGTAAGACCTGTTTGTAGGAAAAGGGGAGAAGATTGCTTATGTGTTCTTTTTTTTTTTTTTTTTTGTCTTCCCTGAGACAGGGTTTCTCTGTGTAGCTTTGCACCTTTCCTGGAACTCACTCTGTAGCTTAGGTTGGCCTCAAACTCACATAGATCCACCTGCCTCTGCCTCCCTAGTGCTGGGATTAAAGGCGTGCACCACCACCACCCAGCTGTTTATGTGTTCTTTTACTTGGAATTGACATGTCCTTTCTAGTACATGCTTATAGGGAAAGAGATGATGTAATAAATGATTGCAGACAATCAGTTCCTTAAATGTTTTCTGACAGGATCACTACACTACACAAAGGAATTTACAACTTCCACATTCTGATTTTCATTTAAAGGGGAAAAGAACATTAAAACTAAATTGTGAAACACTTTAATTAATAAGTGTACTCCATGTGTCATGTCACTGAATTTCTAACAGTCCCACTAGAGTGAAGGAAACATAATTCCAACATAGAAAGGTTAAACACAAAAAGAGAACAATAGGGAACTGATTAATTATTGACAATTTATTTTTATTTTTCATATGCATTGGTGTTTTGTCTGCATGTATGTCTGTGTGAGGATGAAGTTTTAATCTAATTAACTTTATCAATAAAAAAATCAGGAGCCAGATATCAGGGAAAGAACCTGAAAGATAGGAGAAGCAGGGGAGCAGCCATCACTAACTAGCTGCCTCTTCCACTCCTCCATCCAAAAGGGATGAGATCCTGTCTCCACCCCACCTTACCACTTCCTGTCCCTCTCTCTACAGTCCTCCAAACCTCTATGATCAGATAGTGGGTAGCTCTGCCCTCTGACTAAAGCAGGCTTTATTTGTCAGAACATAAAAAAATATCACACAGCATGAGGCGACAGGTCTTGGGATCACAGACAGTTGTGAGCTGCATATGGGTGCTGGGAAATGAATCCAGGTCCTCTAGAGAAGCATTCAGTGCACTTAACAACTGAGCCATCTCACCAGTCCTGAAATGATTTTTAATAGAGCAATCTCCTTAATTTTTCTGAAAACAAAGGATATGAAAATGGCTGTTGAAATGTTCCCATGAGATACCATACAAAGTGAGGAAGCTACAGTTGATGGTGGAATAAGAATTCACTATGGATGAGAGCCTCACCAAGGAACACAAGGTGGCTGTAATTCTCCAACATCACATCCCTGTACAAATTCCACTGAGCAGGCTCCAGACAGTCCCTCTCTTCTGCAGAGAACTCAATGGCCACATCCCAGAAGGACAGCATTTCCTGAAATAAAGATCAATGAATGATATCACACTTTTAATTAATTAAAGCCACTAATAATATAAATACCAAGATGCATTGGGCTGGAGAGTTCTCCTGTCATCGTGACACTAGTTAGGGTCATTTGAGAAGAGAGAGGCATAATTGAGAAAATGCCTGCCTAGGACTGCTCTGTAGCCAAGCCTAGGGTATATTTTCTTAGTGAATGATACACGAGATAGCACAGCCCATTATGGGTGGTACTTGTCCTGGGCAGGCAGTTCTATATGGTGTAGGAAAGCAGGCTGGGCAAGTCAGTAAGCAGTGTTCTTCTGTGGCCTCTGCTCCAGTTCTTGCCAAAGGTTCCTGCCTTGACTTCCCTTGGTGATGAACTGTGACCTGAATGACCAGACTGGAGAAGGGCCAGAGCCCAGAGAAGATGAAGATGGAAACATAAACCCCTGAGAGAATTTGAGCAGTCCCCAAAGCAGAATCAACTGGTAAGGACCTCTCCCCACATTGCCCAGCACAGCATAGCACCATTCTACATGGGGAAGTGTCTGCTGTCCTGGGGCCAATCTCCTGTGAGAAGCTCTGGGTGGAGGGCAGTGTGCCTGTAAACAGGATATCATTTAGTAAAGATTTTACCCAATAAAATTAACAGCAAACATGTCAAGGGCCTTTGATACTGGCAAAGTTCACTTTAAATGGAGAAAAAAATGCAAATTATGTCTGGTCTGAGGGGCACATTGCCATTAATTAGAAATTGTTACACATTCTTCCTATAATTAGGAAGTAGATAGAGAACTCCGCTTGAATGGTGGCTGGTTCTAGAGGCTAGCCTTGGACAACAAAATGGACAGGATAGATGTAATAAGAACTCCTGAATCTTCTGACGGTGTCCCTTAGAAATATCTTTACAGAGAGTCACACAAAACTGAAGACTAGCAGGATATTGGTGGGAAGTCAAAATGGTATGCAAAGAGAAGACTGGATATCTGGTCAGAATCTAAAACACAGTGACCCTCCATTGAAAATCACCGATCTACTGATTACATAACACACTACTTTCAATCCGCAGCACACACACCATGAAGAAGCAATGCCTGGATCTTTGTTCCAGGGCTTCACTCACACAACTGTCCCACGAAACAATCACTAATTTTTGCTTCAAGTCACCAAGTTATGCAATTTTATGATGCAGAAAGTTGGTTAAACTGTGAAAAAATAGAGGAGACAAAATATAGTATTGGCTTTGGCTGGGCAGTGGTGGCTCAGGCCTTTAATCCCAGCACTTGGGAAGTAGAAGCAGTAGAATCTCTGTGAGTTCTAGGCCACCCTGGTCTACAGAGTGATTTCCAGAACAGGCTTCAATGCTACACAAAGAAACCCTGTCTCGAAAAGACCAATAAAAAAATAAAAATAAAAAAGTATCTGCTTTATATAATTATCATTTTAGTTTCAAATTAAGTATCACATTCCTTACTCTGTACGTTAGATGTCTGGATATACTTTTGGATTTTATAGTCCATATGTTGTTTCTAGTCTTCTTAAAGCAACAGTATGTGGAGTGTGTCCAAGAAGCATTTGGGACATACACTCTCATAGATCAGACTTAAATTCACACAGATGCTGCAAAGAAGAGAACAATGGAATGCAGATTTTGAAAGAGTTGGTCATTGAACCACATACACCTTTCAACTCAAAATATGTTTCTGCATTTGATAGTGACTCTGGAGGACACTAGGACAGACACAAATATAACCAGAGTTGATGATGTGATGAATATCTGTGCTGCTCAGGTTTATTCCTTACATATGTATTTGATTCCTGTTCAAATCTTCTGCAATGTCTCTCCATGGCCTATGACATAATCATAAAGATAGATGGGCAGAAACTGAATGTCATCACCCAGCACACCTCCCCTCCAGAATTTTCCAGATACAACATGTCTAACACAGCAAGGCTCATGCATGAATTGTAAACACAAGGAACTCCCTCCCTCACACTGACATTAGAACACAATGAAAGAAGCCTGGGAGGAAAGAGACAGGACTGCTCAACAAGGGGAACTGGACTGGACCTGTGAAGAGCAGGAACCAGCATTAGCACTTGGTTTTACTGGTTGGACATGGCAGTGCCCATGTGAAGGACAGGGAGGAAGTGGTTTTGTTCTGGCTCACTGGAAGAAGCATCTGCACACAGTGGAACCTCTGGTGTAAGGACAGGGGAAGGCATCGCAGCTGCAGCTGCAGAAAAAGACCCAGGAATGTAACCACAGCAGCCACATCAGTCAAGAACTGCAGAATGGAAATGAAGAAATAATGGAGTCTCGGATTAGATATGAAAGGAGCAACCTGGAAGAAATAAATAAAAACAGAAGAAATCAGCATCAGGTCATGATAGTGACAAACAGAGATTAATATCCAAAAAGAGTGAATATTCACTATATATAGGGAGGAACATTCAAGCCAGGCAAAGAGAAATTCTTCCTCACAGAGTAAATGAAAACAAGTATGTAATCACAAAAAAGTAATACCTATAACAAAAGCATGATAATGAAAAAGTTAAAATTACACATTAATGGGCCACAAAAGTTAAGCACAAGTAAGAAACATGAAATGAACAATAGAAAGTATTTATCATGTCCATAAAATACATTCAAGTGTTTTCTGTCACAGACTTGGGTATCGTGGGCTACCCTTGAAATTTGCTTTGAAGCAGGGGAGAACCAGAGGTCCTGTCTCCCCTTCACAAATGCAGGGATGACAGGGATGTGCAATAGAGTAGACTGGAGTTTCTTTCCTATCACAGGTCTGTTTACTGTAAATCACATGAATACACACAGTCTGTGAGTTCTTCCTCACCCTGCTGACCTGACACAAAAGCCTGGTGCTGGAACCCAAGGCCATGAGTTTTTCATCTGTTCCTAGAGACCTACTGTTAGACAAACTCAATAGTTTCAAGGCCAGATGAAGACATGTTGACAAAACCATTTTGGGACAATCAGACATCAGCACTTTCTTACAATTACTAGGGCCTAAATTAAAGATAGAGGATCTTTCAAAGATTTAAGAAAACCCAGCCCTCAATGTGAAGCAAGGTTGAGCTTCCCTAGTCCCCATTGTGCTGTGCACTGGGTCTTTGCCTCCATATGTCTGCAGAATGTGTGTTCGCTCACCCTAGTCAATGCTTTTCTATAGCAGCTGATTCTGGTAGATCTGTCTGCTGTGTTCCAGAATTTCCCAAAGGTGAACTGTTGGGCCTTAGGTTTTTCCTTTCTTAATTCTTTAACTGGCACATAAGATGACCACGATCATAACCTCAAGACCGTTACACTAGGCCGGCTACAGAGTACAGGAAGGACCAGACCCCGTTTGCATACAGACACTGAGAAATCTGACAGCGTCCATGTGAGAATGACTCATCTAGAGAAGCATGCTTCCCCACCAAAGCTGCTCACTGAGCTCCCAGCTCCACCTCAGGAACAGGCAGTCAGCTGACCATCATTAGTTTGCAATCCTGGACTTTGCACTAAGGTCTACTCTGAGCTACTAGTCAGCTCTCCTGTCCCGGAAGCCCAAGGTGGACTCGGGCTGCGCGCGTCCGTCCTAAAGAAACTGTCACTCAGAATGCAGTCCCCATCGCCCTCTCCCCAGCCCTGACCTGCAACCTCAGGTGACCCAGCCAGTTCAGTACAGCACCAAGGCAGTTCTTTTGGTCCTCCCACTCAGCCCAGATCTTGCTCCCTCCAAACGGATCCCCGCACCCCGCACAGTGCCTGAGGCTGCGCTGCACCCTGGACCAACCTCCATGTCAGAGACGCAACAGGAATGTAGAGCAGGTCAGGACACTCGCCCAACTTTGGGGAAGATTCATGTGTGTGGACTAAACACTAGAAGGGGATTTCCTGGAGGGCTCCCTGTGATGTCACAGTCGCATGGACTACATTTCCCAGAAGTCTGAGCAAAGGAATTCCTGGACTCCTAGTGAGATGATGTTTACTCTTCCTGGATTAATTAGGCTGCCTGCAGAAGAGTTGGTAGGAAGAAATTGAGTCCGGTGGACAGCTGTTAGGCCTGAGAAAAACCAACTGCACGAATGTCTGATTAAAGCAAGCTTCATGTTACAGGAGCACCAGGAACTGGCCGGTTGGCTTTCTCTCCCAAAGTCGGTATTTCAGAGAGCAGCCCCTCGTTGCCTTTTGAGGTCCATTCTAGGGGAAGAGTTAAGGTTAATAGAAAACAGATGTCGAGATAGTTGGCCGTTAGAAAGGATGAAATAAAAAAAGTTGAAGTTCAATAATACATCACGTGGGAGGGGAATCATCAAGGTATCTGGAAAAACATGTTCATAAGGCAAAAGTGCAATCGTATCACAGGTTATTTTTGTAAGGCAAACGATGGGCAGACATCATGGGGCCACAAGTTCAGCATAGGTTGAAACATGTTTTGGAGGGTCATTAGGCTTAGGAAACAGAAACTTATTCTTGTAAAGTATGGAGACTTAGTAGGAGTGTGTAAAAACGTGGTTTCTTAACAACAGTGTGGCTACTGTTTTGGTTTCAAACAGCCATGGGGAGTCAGTCTGGTGTTCACCACCTGATCTACAACAGGAGATGTGTGTATGTGAGTCAAGACTTTGACAGAAACATTAGGCTTCCAGGTCATTTCTGGTCCATAGGTTCTGATTTTACTCTTACTACAGCATTAAAAAAAATCATGTTGACTCAGTTGTACTGTAAAATGATAAAGCAACACTGTGTGGGATAATCTTTTTGTACCCTGTGAAGATCTGTTTGGCACGGCACCTTCTGATTGGTTTAATAGAGCTGAGTAGCCAATAGCTAGGCAGGAGAGGACAGGCAGGATTCATGGGATAGAGCAGAAGAGATGAATCCAGCTGCAAGGAGATGCCAGCTACTTGAGGACCAAGACAGGCATACAGAATGGTGGAGACATTTAAAGAAAAGCCATGGGGGCAGAATGGAAATTAATGAAAGCAGGTTAAATTAAGTTATAAAAGCTAGTTGGGGAAAAGCCTACACTAAAGGTCAAGTTTTCATAATTACTAAGAAGTCTCCCTGAACCTGTTCCTCATGCTGGATTACCTTGCCCATCCTTTACGCAGGGGGAGGAGCTTGGTCCTACCTCAACTTGATGTGTCATGCTTTGTTCAAGCACATGGGAAGCCTGCCCCTTTCTGAATGGAGACAGAGGAGGAGTGGATGGGGAGGGGGATAGAGGCGAGTGTGAGTGGGGAGATGGGAGGAGAGGAGGGAGGGTAAACTGTGATTGGTATCTAAAATAAATGAAAAAAATGTTAATAAAATAAAAGGAACTCTCCCTGTCTTTATTTGCAAGCTGGCAGTTGAGACAAGTAAGTAAAACGTGCATAATACACTAACATGGAAATGAAAAGTATCTTTAAGGCAGATTTTGAAACCACCCTTGGTTTGAGGCTCTGGTGTGTGGATTCACAAATGTCCACTGAATGAAGACTCAGAAGTGCCTTAAGAATGAATGTAGCCTTTCCTGGTATTGAGAGCCGCTGATAGCAAAAATCCATGAGAGTATACAGCAATGACAACTAGAGTTCAGAAGGTCAAACTATAGGAACTAAGGGTTCTGTTAGAGGAAACCATCACACAAGGCGTTATGGAATTACTGCCTTTTGAATGAACTGGCTGTCTCTTGTTGTAAACTTCTTGTGCAATAACAGCTATGATTCTCCCCATTTACCGTGCATCTCCATGTTACATGTACATGTAATCTCACGATTGCATCTCAATTTGGGCACAACTTTCCCTATACATTTGGTATGGTGATATTTTATTTGTACTGAAATGTGATTTTATTTGTATGTTAATAAATAAAGTTGCCTGGGGGTCAGAGCTAATAACAAGCCATAGCAGAAGCCAGGCAGTGGTGGCGCACACCTTTAATCCCGATCACATGAAGGCAGATCTCTGTGTGTTCAAGGATACAGCCAGCATGGAGACACACGCCTTTAATCTCAATACCAACCATAGAGACCTGAAGGTCTGTATAGACAGGCAGTGATGAGGAGGTCATGTGGTTGGGTTTACAACCAATGAGAAGGCAGAACAGAAAGTCAATAAAAAGACAGACACACAGGAAGCAGGTCTCTTGCTGAGGGGAAGAACGGCAGCGGCAGGAAGGGTAAGAAGGAGGTTTTTAGTCTCGGCTCCTAGCTACTGCTCTGACTTCTTTTAACTCTGCATTTGGCTCTGTGTTTCTTATTTAATAAGACTGTTCATCTACAATTTGGGGTAATTAGATAACTGCCCCCAGATGTGTCAATTTTTCATTAACATATATCTGGCCAGGGCCATTCTCCAGACAAAAGTATTTCAGCAAAGATACCTTTTTCCAAAGACAAAACTGCACATAGATAAACATTAGCTCATCTCACTCACTCATAGAGAAAAGAATCACTAACAATTAAATCCTCAACCCCTTACCTTCACCCTGGGTTATTTACACAAGACCCTAACTTAAGAGATTAACTGCTCACATTCCTGGGAGGATGATTTAGCCATTTGCTAGATACTGAGTTAAGGCAGTTTACTTCCCACTGACCCAAGGAGATTGCCTACAAGGCCAGGCAGGTGATAGGTGCCAAGCTTCTTTCTTGTGCAAATTAAGTTTTAATTCCTCCTCAGCCAGGTGCTATTCTTAGATTTTCTCCTCAGCAATTACTCTGAGCAAAAGTGCTTTTACTAACCGAATACTACACGCTCTGACATAGGTTGCTTAGCCATCTAGCATATGTCCCCCTTCCTATCAGAAAGCAGCTGCAGCCTGGATAAGGGGGGAAAGTGGCACTAAAGACAGTTTACGTTCTTGTGACTTATTGACCCCTAACATTCCACCTAGCCATTTCTAGACTATAGTTTGAGCACATAAATTCCCTAATTGATCTTAGGCTTTAGTTGACCCTACCAGAGAACTCCCCTTTAGTCACTCTCACTTTGGGGGTTGCAATTGGAAGGTGACAATTATTGATTTATGTGTGGATCCTTATCACCTCTCTCTGTAACCCTGAAAACTTCAAGCCTCGCATTGCTTTGCCAAAGAATTACTGCATATATACACTGGTTCTCTGAGAGCACTAGAGGGAATTGATTGAAAAGATCAGAGATGAGGATGGAGATGGAAAGAAGTAGGTAGAATGATGAGAGAACAGCAGGAGGGACCGAGAGCAGGAGGGACCGAGAGGAGCTAAGTAAGAGAACATAAAAGAAACTGTGTAGATAGAATGGACTTAGAAGAATGACGTGAATAGACTAAAGAACTCAGTGGGCTTAGATTCATTGAATATCCCTCAGATTAGGATCCTTAGCCAATTGTAGCATCTGTTCTGGGCCCTGATAGAAATCCCCTCAAGGCAGGTACTTGGGGGGAATTCGTTATCCTGGCTTCAGGGGGACCCAGCCTCTAAGAACTGAAGGCCTTTCCTTTCACCCAGGGAATTTTTATTTTTCTCCATATTTACACTTTAGATAGTTGATTTCCGTATGTTTAAAACAACCTGAAAGAAGCTTCCAAAAATACAGTGCCAAGTACAAACTTCTCAATTCATCAGGTACCACAGTTTTCCCCATTTCCTGAACAAGTTTTCCATAGGCCTTTGTATCTTTGGGAGACGCTGAGAAAAGATTCACACAGGGCAACAAGAGAAACAAAAGGTGTCTGCTAAACAGAAGATGGATTAGGGTTAGGTGCTACTCTCTGGAGCCAGGCCAGGAGTAGCCCAGTGGGAATGTTGCCACACCTTGGTGTGCCTAAATATGCTTCTAAGTGCTTAGAGGTTTCTTACAAATGGACCCAATCCAAACCTGGATTGGATAATTTAGAGACTTTCTCTATAAATAAAAAGGAAAAATGCTGTGGATATCACTCTGTATGCTGTGAATGTGTTGCTCTGATTAGTTGATAAATAAAATGCTGATGGGCCAGTAGCTAGGCAGGAAGTATAGGCAGGATAAACAGACAAGGAGAATTCTGAGAAGAGAAAGACTGATTCAGGAGTCGCCAGCCACACAAAGAAAGCAAGATGTGAAGGCAGAACTGAGAAAAGATACCAAGCCATGTGGCTAAACACAAATAAGAATTATGGGTTAATTTAAGTGTAAGAGCTAGTCAGTAATAAGCTTGGGCTAATGGCCAAGCAGTTCGTAAATAATATAAGCCTCTGTGTGTTTACTTGAGTCCGAGCGGCTGCAGGACTGGCAGGTGAGAAAGATTTGTCCTGGCCACCGGCAGGCTGGGACACAGGAAATCTCCCAGCTACAGAAAAAAAACAAAACAAAACAAAACAAAACAAAAGAGAAAAAACCAGAAACAAGAACAACACCAATAACCAAAACTAAAAAAAAAAAAGTTAATGTAAATGAATCAAACATACATGGTAAAGCAGTTTGAGCACAATTTGTTTTGTCTTAATATGCAGTCCTTTATATAAATAATCCATGTTGCTCTGTATTGACACTCTGAAGGTTCCAGATATGGATCTGCCTCCACAGCTTGTAAAACAGTTTTCCTGTGAACATTGGAATCCCTACAGTGTAGGAGATTCCTCAGGGACACAGAGATAATCACTGAAGAAAGTTAAAGTTCAACTCTCTGACAATTCCTTATAAAGAACTCCATGATCCCTCTCAGGCTTTGTCACCTGTCCTTAGTCCCCTGAAACTCTCAACTGTTAATGTAAGTTAAAAAGTTCAGTTTTTGGAGGGTTCTGCTACAATTTTAACTATGTTCCCTGGTTTTTGTTCTTTGTTTTATTCCCAACTCCAGGTGTGTATTCAGCTCCAGGTGTGCTGTGAGCTCATGCTTACAACCTGCTCCTCCCCATGGTGGAGGGACTCAGTTCCAGGCTCAAACACAGGTGTGTAACGACAC